GGGGGGGCAGACTTAAAATGAGTCAGGAAATGTGGGGGTGTCTTTTAGTCAAGGTAACATGGCAAATACAAGCTGCTCCCCGGTCTTCTCACTGCTGGTTTTGATCCTCCTCCGGGCTCTTCTCTGGACCCTCCAATCTCCTCCCACCCTGAGTTGCCAGCACCATGTCCCAGCGCTGTCAACTCCTGAGATCAGCCCTCCCCTGCTTGCTGTCTCCCTGTATCTCCCCCCATGGCTCATGCAACCCAGTCTGGGGTGAAAAGGGGGCAGGCAGTGGAGTGATCAATAAGTCCTGGTCCCCCACACCCACTAGACAGGGCTAGGAGGCTGTAGCAGGGAGACAGCTAGCTTACAACCCATGCTGCATGGTGCAGCAGTGGGATCTGAACCCCTATCACCATACAGACACCAGACACCCTGAGAAAGGCCAGATCCTTGCCCAGAGCCTGATTCACCATCACTCACTCAGCCCTAGGGATATTATTAGGACCCCCCAATGTATCTCCTAGGGTCAGGGGCTCTCAGAGACCCCCAGTCTTACCTACGGGGAAGTTTCCTCCAGGGCTTGCCTGGGGTTTTCCACCCTAAAAAAGACATGAGGCCTGTTTGGCTATAAAGTACCTGCAAAAAGTCCTTTTTAAGACCTGGCACAGTCTGGAGTCAGCAAGATTCTTACTAGCCTGGAGGGGGGTGTGCAAATGTGTGTGTACGTGCGTGTGTACGTGTGTGTGGGCTCAGAGCACCATTAGATCCACATAAAACGCTCCCTGCCCACCCCCCGTGCTGCATTTCACAGGGAGATCTGGGCTCCTTAAGCCCCCGCCTGCCTCTTGTTAGCAATGCCTGGCTCTGGCATTTCAGGTGTTGTATCAAGATCTACCCCCTGCCCTGCACCAGCTTGCCTTGCCCCTTCTCCCCCCACCCACACAGACCCAAGCCAGCACCTTTGCCCACCCCAAGGCTGAGGCTGGAGCCCAGGGTGCAAATTGGCTCCTTCAAGCCTGTTGGCTGAAGCTTTAAGGGGAGTTTTCCCCTTTGAACCTTCTTTATTTAATGTTATTTATTAGCAACTTCTAGGCTGGGTGTGGGGCCAGGCTGGCCTAGCAGCGCCTGCCTGCTCGTGGAAGCTAAGCAGGGCTTGGCCTCGCTTGGGCTTGGATGGGAGCCCCCACAGTGCAGATGGGGCAGTACTGGCTGGGAGTGGTTGTGGGCTTATACTGGCACCTGGGGGTGGGGGACAGGGCCACACATGTGCAGAGCTCTGGCAGGTCTCAGCCCTCCCCCTCCCTGAGTGCTGGCCGTGCCTCAGTTTCCCCATGGCCCCTCCCTTGGTTGGGGCACAAAGAGGCGGGATTTACGAGCATCTCTCAGACACTCATAACGAAGCAAATTCAATTTGACGCTGCCCCGGCCAGTCAATACGGGAGATAAACGAGCTGGCGGGCCCCGGCGGCTCAATGGCAAAATCGATGGCACTCCATTGTGCGCCTCAGCTGCGTGGGCTCGATCCTGCCCCCCGCCCTGGAGCTGGGGTAGGGGCAGGGGACCTGCCAGGACCAGGGGTTCCCCAGGGCCTGCTGGGGTTCATGCCCTAGGGCACTGGGGGCTGTGGCAGTTTCAGTACCCCCCACCCCACAAACTCCACTCAACCCAGTGCCATAGGCTCCCTACCCCAGTCCCTGAGGGAGAGTCTCTGCCAGTTCTGGGCGGTGGGGAGGAGAGGACTTTTGGGGATGTCTAATGACCATGGTAACCTTGACAGTGGCGTGTCTCCAGGAGCCCCCAAGCCCATGGCAACACCCCACAACTGGACCCATCCCTGCAGACCCCAGTGCCAGCTCTGTGAGCCCCCCGCTCACTTCTGGGAGTGTCCGTCTGTCCGTCCGTCTGCAGTGCACCAGGCAGGGCTGTTCGCTGGCTCTGGTGCGGGTCTGGTCCTGGCAGCTGGGCCGAGCAGACGGTGTCGAGCTGGCCCGGCGTGGCCAGCCCTGGGCCATGCCAGCCGGGGATGGTGCCACCGGCCTGGCCTGGCAGCGGTGCCTCGCGCCTGGCCTTGCCAGGGCCCCAGAGCTGGCAGGTGCTGGGTCCCAGCTCTCCGACGAGGTGGGCAGCCCTGAGCCCCAGCTCCATCTGGCCTGCAGCGGCTGCCAGTGCTGCTGTCTCTGTCCTCCCCACCCTACCCAGCTAGAGGCCCTGGGGAAATGCGGTCCACTGAGCCCACGGCACAGAGCCACGAGCTGCGGTGAGGGGCGCCGGTGTCTCTGCAGGGTCCCGTGGTGCCCAGCCCGCTCCTCTCACCTTGTCTCCTTGCCCCTTCTTCCCCCCTACAGCTCAGATCTCCCTCCAGGGGTCAGCGCTCTCTTCCTGACCACCAGGGTCAGGTGGAGAATCTCCCTCACAAACTGGGCTATAGGGTCTATGACACTTGGTTGGCCTGGAAATAACAACCCTGACTATTTTCACTACTGGGACTTGTGCCTCTGAATTTGCCACCCAGAAACCTCCTGGCTCCCCAGGCCTCTGCCCCACAGAGCTTGCAGGGGAAACTGAGGCATGGGGCAGGGCTAGACCTGGG